ATAAAAATTTAAAAACAGAATTCTGCAGTTATTCTTATCTTTAGTACCCCACATAATGTGTCATTGTGGTGACATTCCAGTTTTTTTCAATGTTTTCAGAAAATTTGATTATGATAATTCTTGAAGAGAATTTTGTTTTCTTTTTACATTTTTCTCCAGCCTGGAATTCATTGAAACTCTTGGAATTTGAGTTTATAATTTTCATACAAGGGCAATCATAGAATCCTTATATTTCAAATACCCCAGCTCTCTGTGAGATTCCAATATTTTGTGAGTAAAACTTCTTGTGATTTTTGCATTACTGATTACTTTTCCTTTTCCTTAGTATTCCTATGAATCTTTTTAGATAGTTTCAAATACTGCCCTCAAACTCAATCATATTTGTTTTTCTGAACTAACTAAATTTCTGATGTTATTCAGTGAATGAATTTGTTCAGACAATGCATTTTGAATCTCAAAAAGGGGTATTTTTTCTTCTGTTTATCTTCCATTTCAGTCCTTATAATGCCCATGGTTTCTTTAAGTGTTTAAATTTCTTTGCTACTTTGGACATCTGTGTATTTCTGGGGTTTTCAATAGTGTTTTTCTCCTCTGGGGAAGTACTTTTTCAGAAGTCTATTCCTACTTTTTCCATAATAACTGAGATATCTACCACATTTGATAGGTAGGGTCAAGGATAAAAGAATTCCCTGATACAGAGAAAAAAAATCACAAAATAAAAATGGTCTTTTATGTCACAGATTATTTTTATTTTAAAATTTCCTTTGAGATCATTAGGTAAGTAAAATCAGATTAAAAAAGAAATGAAACAAAAACACAATAAACCCTAGTAACAATTGTAACTAAATGAACTTAGAATCTGTTTTTCAGCAAACATGTATATGACATAATTATCCTATGTACATATATGAAATCCTCAGAGTGAATCCCACCATTGTGTGCATCCATAAGAATGGGATTCCAACCACAATAAGATATGTGCATGCTTGTATAATTATACCAAAATTGATTCTATTGCCCTGTATAACTAAAAAGAAGCAATAAATGAAGAAAAAAAAAAAAAACTCCCCCTGTTGAGCACCACACATAACATTCCAGGGAATCTGTTACCTCAAAGAAGGTGAAACTTGTTAAGGGATAATTACTTAGAGGAGTGAAGATAGGGTGCAATGTGACATAAACAAATATGTATTTTAGTGGCTGTGTTCTGAGACAGAAATGAAGATTTGGCAGGATAATAGCAATAGGGAAAGAGAGCAGATCAATTAGGGAGTTATTTCAGAGATTTAAGTATGAAGCTATGAATATAGATATAGAATGTTTAAATTTATCAGTGTGGAACAGAAGGGAAAAACAGAAAAATAAACCATGTTTTCTAAGCTAAAATCCTGAACTTCATAACGAGATAACTAATGATAATAGAAAAATAATCTGAAAGGAAAGGGAGAAGGACAAGAAGAATTATCACTCTGATATTTTACTTAGATGTTAGTGGAAATCTATCCAAATAAATTTAAAAAGTGGGAACATACATATCACCATTTTGAAAATAGGAAAGCAATAATCTTCAAAAATTATAGGCTATTCTGAGAGAACAATCTTATAGGAGGATTTAGATAAATGTAGAAAAGTAATTTGTAAATTAAAATACAGACAGCATTTGTATGGAGTTTTAAAAGAACTATTGATGTTTTATGATTATCAATAGCTGATACACTTTCTCCTTTTTTTGTCAGTGGTGATGAGAAAAGTAGATGGGAATGACTCAAAATTAAGTAACAGATTTTTTTACTTCCAAACCGAATGCTCATGTTTTTAGGCATAAAAAATATTCTACCTAAATCCTTAGGTTTTGAGTTAAACATTATTATGCAATATATACTGAATCACACACAATTATGGGAAGAGCCTAGCCTGTTTCTAACTTTAAGCTGAGTCAAATGCAATTTTGTAAAGAGATTCACAGATTATATGCAATAAAGACAACCAGGTAAAACAAGATGAAGCCATCAACCTCTTCTGTTAGGGGCAAATTGTTTTGGAGAATTTTGGTGGATATGCATGATGTAAGATTTCAAATATTTACTGATCAAGCTATCAATTTCTTTTCAGAACCAGAAATTCAAGACAGTAATACAGATTAGAAAAAAGTCTAGTAGCAGGAGGAAGGAGATAGACACAAATGGAGAAAAGTCTATTTCAAGAATATTATGATCATTTGAAAAACATAGACAAAAGTCCTATCATGACTATTTTATTAAAATATTTTAAGTTCCCATGTTCTGACTATATGTGCATGTTGTACGTGTAATATTTACTAACTCATTTTATGTAGTATCACACATGTTTTTAAATATAACATGTAATTCAAAATGTGTGATTTTAACAAAGTATTTAGGATTCTTGTTTATATGTATTCCTTTCATGAGTGATAGCTCTTGGTTCTCTATTTTGTAACATAATATTTAAAATAAATATTAAGAACTCATTTGGATTAATATCACATCAAATGAATTGAATGCATGAATAAGGTATAAAATCGGCCTCCATTTCAGAGAAATACATGAATCAATACATGCTCTGAGAAACTGCCTAAGATCTTGCTTTGCAATAATTCAGGGCTTTCTTTAGTCTACTTTTTTCAATTTTGGTAATGACTTTATTCATAAGTTTAAAAGGTATTTTTATGGTTACTCTTTTTATGACTACTTTTTAGTGACTCCCTTTGTCTTCATGTCTTAAGTTTATAACAGAATATATTATAAAAATGGCATAAAGCCAAGCTTTGCATTTTATTCTGTTTCTTCTGTGGTCTGAAAACATTTTGGAAATATCAAGAAGCTAAGCTAAAGATTTTTAGTGTGATAAACAGTTGTGTTTGTGTGAATGTTTTATGTGTGTACTGTTATACTCATTAGAGTAACCAAAAAAATATTGTTTTTAAATATAACATATAATTCAAAATTTGTGATTTTAACAAAGGATTTAGGATTCTTGTTTATATGCATTCCTTTCATGAGTGATAGCTCTTGGTTCTCTATTTTGTAACATAAATATATGGCCTTAATTGTTCATTATCCTTTCTTGGACTTGTTCTAATGACTTCCCTCAAGGAGACAGCCTGCCTTCAGGGTCCAAGGGATGCTTTGCTTTGCTTTGCTTTGCTTTGTAACAAAAGCTTTAAGTGATATACAAACCCAGAGAAGAGGTAACAATGTGAAAATACTTCTATTCTTCAGGAAAGCTAGATAAAAATAATCTGAGTATCAAGAATGAAATTAATGAATGAACCACATAAAAAATCAAGGGGTTTTCTCTTAAAAAAACTATTTAGGAATTAATACATTTTAGTAAAAATAGTGAATTTATATAATTCTTATATCAGTCATGATTCACTTCATACCTGGGATAATAAAATCCAATATAAAGATTAAGATCATCAGGACAATGAAAAGGAATGTTTACTATCTCTAAATCAACATCTAAAATATTTGCGGATTTGCCAGTGTCTACTATGTGACAAATTAACCATGTTTTCATCTGACTTAGAAGTTACCTAGGTAGTTCAAAGCTTATACTTTTTTGGAGGGGGGCGGGTACTGGGGATTGAACTCAGGGGCCCTAGTCCACTGAGCCACATCCCCAATCCTATTTTGTATTTTATTTAGATACAGGGTCTCACTGAGTTGTTTAGCACCTTGCTAAGTTGCTGAGACTGGCTTTGAACTCAGATCCTCCTATCTCCAGAGCTACTGGGATTACAGGTGTGCACCACCAAATCTGGCCAAAGCTTATATTTAATATGATTCCATAGTTGGTCCTGGCTAATCCTTTTACTCCTCAAAGGGTGATACATCATCATAACAAACATAGACCCATCCTTTAGGATCCAAATTAATTGCTGGTTCTCCAAAATCCTTTTTAAATAATGAAGCCAAGATCGTCTTTCCCTTCTATGTGTTTCATATACTTTGTGTACATAGTTTACTAAGAAACTATTCCTTCTTTATGTGCCTCTTTCTTGAGCCTTTGAGAGGAGATATCAAACCCTGTTACTCCTTTGATGGAGAACTGTGTCTGACAAGAAGTAGTTTCTTAAAAATATATACTGAAAAATATGAATAACCAATGAAATAACCATAGTGACCATGACCAACAATTTTCCTACAGTGAACAAGAAAAGTAAATTAACTATTTTTAGTTACTCAGCTGTTAAATAGTATAAAATGGGCACACACCTTTTGTGGCAAAGTACCAATATAACTAAAGTCAGATTGCTAAATGGGACTAAAAGTTTGAAAAATAAAGTATAGAGTTTGGAAATGTATGAAATAAAGGAGAGTAAGATGTGTAAACAAAACTATGCAAGCATCCTTTTCCTTAAGAAACACACTGGTGCATTGACTCAAGATGGAAAAGACAATAATCAGTAGAAATCAGAAATGTAAGAAAATCAATGCATTCATCGTGAAAATAGATCTATCTTAAAACCACGTGACACTTTTATGTGACTAGATATTGATAATAGTAAATGGTGTTTGTTCCATGTGATAATAAATTAAGAAAAAAATATTACTTTTAAATTCTAATTCTTTTCCATAAAAGCATTTTGGGTGAGCACATGAATGAGGTTATGTGTTTACATTTTTAATGAAAACCTTGTAGATGCACAGAACCTATAAAATTGACCTATAAACTGAAGCATGAACAAATTTGAAAACATTTGCTTAATATCAGACTAAAGGGAAATAACAGATTAATATATACATAGTGATGGTACTATATTTTAATTATATATAATAAATGTTATTCTATTTGGTAAATAACAGTCTTATGAATTTACTCACATACATGCAATCATGTAGACACCATCATAATCAAGATAATGAACAGTTATAACCATCCCCAAATTTTATAGTGAGACCTGTTTGTACTCAATGGATTCCTCTACCACAACCTGTGAAAATCACTGTTCTGCCTCTTTTTGTCTTGTTTTGTGTTAACTAAGGGGACACTTTACAAATTTGTGTGTTATCCAGGAACAAGGACATGCTAATTGTCACTGTATCATTCCAATTTTAGTATTTGTGTTTTCAAAGCAAGCAATAATCTGCTTTTTGTATCTGAAATTTTCCCTTTTCCAAAATATCATATAGGTGTGTCCATACAATATATAACTTTTGTTGCAATTGTTATACTTTGATTAGCAGGATACATTTAGATTTCCCCACTTAGTTGCGTCTATTAATTCTCAGCACTTTACCGTTACACATTATCCATTATGATGCATACCAAAGTTTGCTTATCCCATCAAGAACAATTTTATTTTAAAGAACTGTTCACATTCTATGACAACAAATGCTGTGAAAAAAAATATATATACACACACACATATTCATATATGCATATATGTATATATGCTAAAATAAGTTCCAGGTATTTCACTTTAGCTTCTAGTATTAATATATTACTAGTATTAAAAAAGTTTTGACAATATTTAGGACATACAACAAATATAGTGTGTTTTATTTTATTTTATTTTATTTTCTTAAAAAGAGAAGAGAGAGAGAGAGAGAGAGAGAGAGAGAGAGAGAGAGAGAGAGAGAGTTTTTTAATATTGATTTTTTAGTTTTCGGCGGACACAACATCTTTGTTTGTATGTGGTGCTGAGGATCAAACCCGGGCCGCAAGCATGCCAGGCGAGCGCGCTACCGCTTGAGCCACATCTCCAGCCCCTAGTGAGTTTTATTTTATATTTTAAATTATTTAAACATTTAGTAACAAATTCTAATTTAACACATCTTTAAAGTATTTTGAAAATCATTTCAGTTCCTTAAAATACTATACTGGAACTTATACACATGTATGTTTGTACTCACACACTTACACACATATACTCACACATAACATTTCTTTATTGTTTCTGCCTATTAATTTTTGGATTTTTTTTATCACAACCTTCTTTGTATGTTGTTTTTTTCTTCAGAATATATCTCATTCTGTTTTTATAAAGACAAAAGAAATAATTTTTAAAGATATATTAGTATTATAAATGTATTATTATAATATCTTACTCTACTTTATTAAACAAACAAGATGTCATCAGGACTTAAACAAATTCAACTTAATGCACACTAGTTAACAGACTTCCCATCAACGCATTATTGGGGAACATTTAAAAATGCAAGTAGCCAACAATCTACTCCTTGAAGTTGTTTTTAAATTAATCTATCCATCTCTTAGACCAGATTAGACAGGTCATACATACAATTAAATAGTATTGCTACCTTTCTAGAAATTGAATTTCTTCAGAGAAATGCATATGGATGGAAATTTAGACATCTAATGTTAAAATCTGTTAGCCAAATTATATCACCCCCATTATTATATAGAAAATCTGTATAAAGCGTAAGTATATTTATACTTTCTATTTTTCACATTTGTACCTTTATTTCTATTTATATTATAAAATGAATCGTCTTAACTAATTTGAAAAGGATTTTCACTAATAATACTTGAAATAAGCTAAAATAACAATCATCTAACTGGCTTAGGTTGACTTCTTTTTTAACATGCACCATCTGCGAGATAAATGTGACACATATAATCACATATAATATAATCATACTGGAGAGCAAACATGTGAAGTTTTACTGGAATTAAGTATTAGATCATCACATATGCCCCATAAGATGAATAATAAAGCATAAGAGGAAAGGAGAGCAAATCATTCCACATACTGATTACACAAAGAACTGTGCAGCACAAGGCACCTGCCAAGTGGAAATTGGAGCAAAATTATCTACTAATTTTTGGATAACTACATTATTCCAAATCTAATTTTACCCAAAATAAAAAGCAAACAGTAGAAATGGGAAACGGACAAGAAAATATTAACAGGAGCAAATTCTCATTTAAGGAAGAACAGTTACTAAATTCACAGCAAAAACTGTTCATCTAAACTTTTAGGTGAATACAAAATTAATATATTAGTTATTTTATGCACTTTATTTGTTCCACATATGTACCAGTCTCTGTGTAAGGAGATTAATCTCACTAAAGTAAAAGACAAATTATGTGAAAGTATGAGGCTCTGTACTGGAAGTTTTTGATGTGAACAAAAGGACAGTTGGAAATCTGAGAGCACAACAGCAGAGAACAACCCATTCTGTAGCTAGAAGGAAGGCAAAAAAAAGATATCCAAGAATGAGTAGATAGAGAGGAGTGAATGGAAACTTGGCTGATAACAGAGGAGAGGGTTGTTTAGAAAAGGAGAAAGGGCATGAACCAAATAGAGATGCAAGAAAAGCAGTGTTCAGGAGTTTCAAATAATTCTATGGTGTGCATGTCTAAGAATGCTCAGTGAAAGAAAGGGAGAAAGGGAAAAATCTGCATCCCCTAATAGTTTGAACTTTATCCTAAAATCAACAAAGAACCACCTGAATGCTTTAGATACAAGAAATAATCAGATTACAAATGAGACTGAAAAGATTAGGAAGTTTTGGAGGAAACCAGTTTGAAGGAAGAGCAAATCTGAGGCTATTCCAATAAATTCTGATATTCAGAGCTTTGAGATGCTCTCAGAGCAGAATAATTTATACATGAGATTCTCCACAAAAAGAGAATTTGTTAAATACTATATACATTATGGGACTCTTGCAATTCACAAAGTATTCAGAGAGCATCCTGTAATTAAGAAATTTATCTGTTTATTTAATGCACTTCCTTATATTTATTCCCTTTGCTTCATCATTTTTTATAAGAGTACATAATATTAAGAATCAAGTAAACAGTGTTCCATAATACAAACTAATGGAACTTGTGTCAAAAATATGTGTTAGGGTGGAAAAGATTAAAACAAAGACAAAAGAATCATTTTGATGATAGAATAAAATAAAACCAGGTATGGATTAAATATGTGAGATAACAAAGGAGAAGATTTACCCTAGGATTTTCATTTAAAAACTGAGTGTTTTCTGTTTACAGTGTTTGTGTCTGTAAATTAAACATAATCTTATGAATGGGCAAAAGAAAAAGCTATAAAGAAAATTGATAAGTGCTATTTAAGTCTTTGGAATACAAACTACCTAAAAGGTAACGTCCTGGAACCAGGAAGGCAATTGCATTTAAGACTGAGTTGTAAAATGCCAGTGTTATTAAAAGCCCAGATATAAAAATTTGGAATGAGGGATAAAGTGAGAGATGGGGCTTGGCGCTATTACCAGTAATGGGGGAGCTATGACTGCAGCACAGAGTGTCAGGGAGCCTGAAAGCCAGTTGTGGAAGATTTAGAGTGAAGATGGAAATGTGTAAGAGAATAAGTGTTAAACACATGAGAGACAGACACATGCACACACACACACACGCACACACACAACTGACATGAGATAACAAACTTGGACAATAGCAGGGAAACCATTAGGAAAACATGGCCTCCAACACCTTCACCTACCTGTAAGCATCATTATGTCCTTGGATCCTACCCCTATCTTCTTTCCGTCTCTATTCAAACACCTGCTTGGATTTCTTACCCACTTAATTGCCCTCAACAACTTTCTATGGTATTGTATCTTTTCTAGCTCTGATCCAACCTTGAGCCACAGAATTATATCTCTACCTGCTCTTCTTACCCACTTACATGTTTCTCTTTCTCAACACATTGTAACTATAAAGAAAAAATCATTTTGTTGTTGTTGTTGTTATTGTAGTTTAGAATGAAAATCAGATCATTTCATTCCACAGTTTAAAATTATCCAACTTCTCATCTCACTCCTCTGGAAACCAAAGATGTTTAGTCAATGGACAAGCCCTGTGTATGGTTTCTCAGAAGCTGATGCCTTCCTTGCCTCAACTTTTTTTTTTTTTTTAAATTCTGCTACTCTCTCCTCCTTGCTACTTTCTCTTCTACTCACTTCACTTGACCCACACTGATCTTGTGTAAGTCTTCTATAACCTCATGTACGAGAATTTTCCTTTTTCTATGCTCAGTAAGTTTTTTTCTTGCAAATTTGGAAATCGTCTCTTAGTTAGTTGTAAGCTGTCTGAGGGAAGTTTGCCTCTTGGTTCCAGTTTACATCCTAAACACATACAGCAGAAATGTCTGACCTATAGAATGGGCCCAAAATATATCAGCCTAGACAATGAGTATATAAACATAATTTATGAGAAAAACAACTATCATGTATTCCAAATTTTTAAACCAATCAATATTTGTTTAATTATTAACATATTTGCTGAATAGAAAAAAATATCTAATGATATACTACAAAGAAATCAAATTTGGAATAAAACATATTTGATACAAGCTTTGGAATAAAGTTTGGTGAAATAAAAACAAAAATGTTCATCTATTGCTAATTCTAAACCATTTCCCTTGAATCTCAAATTAATTATACTGAGTGAAATAATACACATTTTTTAAAAGTATACAAGGCATAATTTCATTTACATAAAATCATAGGAAATAAAAATTAAAGCAAAATGGCAGAAAGCAGAGCAGTGCTTCCCTGTGGATGAAGCAGGTATGTGGAAGAAATATGAAAAAAACAGGATGAAACTTCAGGGGTGATGAGTAGGTTCACTGCTTCAATCAAGGTGCTGGTTCATGGGTATATACATATGTCAAATTTATGAAAATGTTCACAATATCTGCAGCATGATGTACATCAATTACACTTCCTTAAAGCTGTTTTTAAAATAAAGAGTAAAATGTATAATATAAAAATTTGTTTACTCTAAAAAATAAGAGTTATAGATTCATTTTGGTTGCTGTCAAAAACAAGATCAAATTGAATTTGTGAACTTATGAGAGTAGTACAATTTCCTTTATTTTGGCAGATTGATAGACATTGATTATCTTTCTGTTGGTTAATTCATACATGCACATTAAATTTTAATAATCCAAAACTACAAGTGAAATATCCAGCTTTCCCTCTGGGAGAAAAATAAAATGCAATTTTAAAAATTAAATTAATTTGATTGAAATAATGTGTAATAACATGGGTTAGAAGAATTTTGAGTTAAAAAGAACTTGAATTTGAACAAAGCAGTCCAAATATATCAATAATCATAACTGATTTACTCTACAATATAATCCTGAAAG